ACGTGGAGCCCATTTCTCCTGCAAGGCCCAGCTTGTCCCAGAATGTCCCCCAGGGCCTTAAGAAGTCTATACCTCTCCTCCCTACACCCCTGTCTGATCCACACTCTGAGACCCCTTAGTTGCACCTGTCTTGCTCTCCCTGCCTGTGGAACAGGTAGCCATTCAAAGAGAGCCATTCTGTGAGCCTGGCATTCCACCTCCTTTCTTGCAACCTAAATTTGGCTGCCCGGACCTCCGGACTGCTTTTCCCGATGTTGTTCGTACTGCCCAAGTCAACAGACTTGGCTTCAAGGAACTGTGTTTGCTCCCTTAGAACCAGGAGCTCATCAAACAAAGTGCCACCCACAATTCTGTCCAGCTGACTGACAGACAGAGGGAGGCACAAGGCAGCCCTCATGTCCCCATTTTTATTACTGTATTTGTTTACCCGGAAAGCTATTTGCTAGATGGTGGGGACTGTATTTATAGCCATCTATTTATAGTCATTTACTATTCATTTCATCGCCCCGAGCAATTGGGGCCAGGTTACAGGAAGGATCCTCTCCTACCTTGTACCTGCCCGAACTCTGAGCTTATCCCCGTGGTCCTTCTCCTGGCAAGGAAGGAAGGACTGTGGCACCTCCCTTGTGGAATTAGCTTCCTCAAGCAGTTCCCCTCCTGCCCATCCAGTGCACCTTCCAGCACCAGGCAAACGCCTTCCTGCTTTCCAGGGATGTGCTGTTTTAAATCTGTGGCTGCATTTTAAATCCTTGTGTTTTCAATGTTTATAGCATATCGCATGTTGCATTTATGGTGTTCATTGCTGTGAGATCCCACAGAGCTTAGGCTATTGGGCATTCCGGAAAGGAAAGGAATCAGTGCAAGAGAAGGGAAGAGTCGCCTGCCCTGCCCTCCTGGCATGCACGCTGAAGCAGCCTGTGCGGAGACGCGTCATCACAGGGGCTCCTCACCCCCAGCGAGCAGCATCTCAGGTACTTTGAACAGCCATCAGTGCAACCTGTTTTCTACACGGCAGGTCCCATTTTTCCCAAGATCAGTTTAGGGGCCAAGTACCCCCTGTACATAAATACCAGTGGGTGGGTTGAGTTGGCAGTGATCTTGTGGCTGAGGTGGGCAGTTCAATTCAATGTTTTGGATCTGAAAAAGTTGCCAGGAAAAGCAACTCAGATGGTCCATTTTCCTGTGAGAAAACGCTGCAGCGTAGGAGGTTTAAGCTTAGAAAGAGACTCATAGATGGGGAACTCCCTGCCACCAGGCCAGGGGTATTTCGCAGAGATGGAGGTGTCCTTTGCCCACGTCTGCTCTCTCTGACCAAGTTGCCAAGACGCAAGCAAGATCAGGACTGGCCTTTGCATTCTCTGGGTATTTCTTCTCCCTTTGGCCCTATTATAGCATTCCCATCCGTGCTGGCAGTAAGTTATTAAGCTGGAATGACATGTTTTGCACTGCAGGAAAAGCCCATTAACAGCAAAGCAGCTCCTACAGAGCAATTTACCCCAATAAAGCCTGAGACCAGACTGACACCTTTTGGGCACCAGTCCAGAAGCCCCCTCTGAGATGAGGCAGGAAGGGCAGGCGGGCTGGCACCTGGTTGGAGGATAAAGCGTCTCCATCTCCCCAGGCTCATGCTGGCATGCTGGATCCGTTACCAGTGGTGCTGTCAGATGTGGGTATGCCGCCCAGGGCTGGAGCTAAGTCTCAAAGGCTTTGCCAAAGGATTTCAGGCTGGGGGTTGCCAGAATCTCAGGGTGGGGGGGGGTTATCCCACACGAGCAACTGGGCTCGGTTCCCAAGTCCCTGGCTCAGTGCCTGGGTCACTGCTGGAATGTGGGGCACAATACTGTCAAAAAGCAGCCAGGAAGGGGGCTCTTACTTATTTCCAGAATATGAGCCCAGATTTATTTTCTGAATACAAAAGCTGATTACTTTTAATGCAGCTCCATCAAGGGGAGATTTGTGGATACGGAAGGGATGCATTGCACATTCGGCTCAGGTGGCAGGCAGCCCTTCTGCAGAGAGTGGGTGGGAGCTGAAGGAAGGAAAGTAGGGCAGCCACTGTGGACAAGGGAGCCAGCAACGTCAGTTCAGCAAAACAGCGCTCCCACGAAGAGAGGAAAGTCCCTCTCTGCAGGTCTGTGTCCTCCTGGGGCAGACAGTGGAAGCCAGAGGGCCTGATCTCCATGAGTATTCATGGGCTTTGCTCCAATTAAATGCCATTTACCTGCACCTTTCATCCACTAAGGCTGTTTCACTTAACTTTGTTGTCCAGGTTGCCAAGAGAAACGGCCATTAGTCTCAACAGGTCCAACTGTTGCTAGGAGCAACACCAGAGCTGCATCTCCTCAGGAAACAAAAGGCAAGTGTTTCAGCGACCTCCCATAAAGGGAGTGCAAGTGACCCAGACTATGCTTAAGATGCATCTTTGGCCAGCTATTCCTGTGCAGGAGGAGGAGCTGGTGCAAAGACACCACTTAAGTAAGAAGCAATCCTTTAAAGCTTCAAGTAGGACATAGGGCAGTGATGGCGAACCTATGGCACATGTGCCTCAGTGGGCACGCAGACCCCTCTGTTGGCACACAAGCCAGGTTGACCAAGCATCGCCCCAGCAGCCGAGCATCAGATGACTGCACACTTAGGGGCCATGCGCATCCTCGGAAGAGTAGCGGTGCCAGGCAGTGATGTCACGAGCCGCAACTCATTAGCTGTGACTCGTCCAAGCTTTCACACAGCTGGTCAGTGCGCTGCCAAGGATATATATATATATATATATATTTGCTTGGACTGGCTGTGAGGTGGTTTTTGTAAACTCAAACCTCAGTTTTCAGGTTTGATTGAGTTTAGAACGAGCAGAAATTTTGAGCTGTGCAGAAAAAGATACTCAAAGAATTTTTTTTCAAAATCACCCTCTTTTCACTGGAACTTTAGCCCTGTATTAGGGTTAGGGGAGTGCAACAGGGCAGAGTTAGGGTTAGTAAAACAAGGTGTCCTGGAATGATTTTGATGCTTGGAATGTGTTTAGAATGGGCAAAAATGTTTTGCTATACAGAAAAAGCTACTCAAGGCATGCTTTTTTTCAAAATCACCCCTTTCAATAGTATTTTACTCCTATATTAGGGCTAGGGGAGTGCACCAGGGTAGGGTTAGGGCAGTGGTGGTGAGCCTATGGCACGCTTGCCACTGCGGGCATGCAGAGCCCTGTCAGCATGTGAGTCAAGTCGTGCCAGCATTGCCACAGCAGCCGAGCATCGGATAACAGTGCACATAGGGGCCATGCGCATCCTTGGAAAGGTGTAGTGGCGCCAGGCGATGACATCATGAGCTGTGACTCATTAGCTGCAACTTGTCCAAGTTTTCTCATGGCCAGTCAGTGCGCTGCCAAATATATATATATTTGCTTGGACTGGCTGTGAGTTGTTTTTTCTAAACTAAAACCTCAGTTTTCAGGTTTTATTGCACTGTTGGCACTTTGTGATAAATAAGTGGGTTTCGGTTGCAGTTTGGGTACTCGGTCTCTAAAAGGTTCACCATCACTGATATAGGGGGTTCAGTCCCTCTTTAAGAGATTATGTAAGTATGTCATTTTGTCACTGTAAGCTTCGTAAAATGCCACATTGGACAAAGCGAATTAGTACAGAGCAGCACTTTCACATGGAGAAATGGAGAGGTGTGCAGGAAATGAGAAACAGCTTGGCACAGAGGAGTTATGGGACATCCTGCCGCATCCCATTTTGCTCTTTGGAACCTTCCTTCATCAAAAAGATGCTATGCATCTACTCAGTGATAAAACAACGGTGTGATAACAGACACTCAGCCTGCAAACCCAAGCCCTTCGTGGACACTGAAAAGGCAGAACTGGTTCTCCCGAGAGTTCTCTTAAAAATGGGAAGCCACTGAGAGCATTTGGGCCGCTCCAGGCCGAGTTCCTGAGAAAAGGGAATGACCTTTCCACGCTGCCCCTTCCCTCCGCAAGCCCCACGCCCCTTCCTCCTCCCCGCTGCCGTTACTCCCCGGGGAAAGGCCCGGCCTCCTGAAGCGGCTTCCAGGCGCCTTCGCGCTGCCCCGGCGCCGCGCGTCCCTGCCCCGGCAGCCCCCAAGTCACGCGTGGCTCGTGCAAGGGAAGCTCGCGGCGCAGCGGGAGCGCCCGCCTCGCCGTGCCCGCGCGGCCTCCCGCTGCTCGGGGCGGCGGCGGCGCTTCCCGGCACGTGACGGCCCCGAGGGGGGCGCGTGGCACCGGCGGCCGGCCCCGCCCCCACCCAACATGGCGCCGGGCGCCGCTCCGCCGGAGGGGGGAAGCGGGGCGCGGCGGCCCCGGCTCGCCATTGGCGGGCGAGGCGCGCCCTCCGCAGGAAGGGGGCGCGGCGGGCAGGGCTGCGCGCGCGGCGCTTCCGCCGAGGCGCCGCGCCCGATTCGCTGCGCCCGGGGAGCGCGGCCGGAAGCGGGTCGCTGCGCAGGCGCGCCGCAGGGGGCGGGCCGAGAGGGGGAGGGGCGCGTCCGCCGGAGCGACGGGGGGGAGGAGGAGGAGGGTCGTCGTCATCGTCGTCGTCGTCTTCATCATCGCCGCGGCGGGACGGGGCGCGATGGAGGAGCGGGGGGAGCTGCAGTCGCCGCCCGCGTGAGTGTGCCGGGGCCCGCCGCCCCGCCGCGGCCTCCTGCGCCCGCCGCCCCTCCGCAGCTGGGCCGCGCGGCGGCGCCGAGCGCGAGATCCGCAGGCCCCTCTCCGGTTTCCATGGCGACGCGGCCCTTGCCCCGCCCCGCCTTTCTCTGCCCCGCCTTTCTCTGCCCCGGGGCCGCGGCGTTAGGAGCGCCGCTCGGAGCGATGACGGGCCGGTGGCGGGGTGGCGCCCGCCGGGCTGCTCCCCAGCCGGGCAGGGCTTCCGGGCCCGCGGCAGCGCCCACTGCTCCCCTCTGGCCGGTTGCCCGCGCATCAGCCGATGAGCGGCCCCCGGGCGGTGAGGCCGTGGGGGGCGGGTGCGCTACACGCCCGCCCCGCTTGTGGGCAGCCCTTTGGCCCCCGTGGGAGCAGGATGGTGGCCCGATCTGGCCCCTGGCCTTCTAGTTCTAAATTCGCTGGCCGTTGCTCAGACTTGGTTCTCTCCTGCCCGTGGAGCCCCCCTGCCTGTTCCTCACCAAGGCCTGCTGGGCCAGCTAGCCTTGTCGGGTTCCCCACATGTGTTGCTTAAACTGCTAATGTTACTGGTCTCTTTATATGTGATGCCTTGCATTTGCTATCATCCCAGGGATAGAATGAGCCAGGGTGACTCAAACCCAGCCGCAATTCCACATGCAGCTGAAGACATTCAGGGAGATGACAGGTGGATGTCACAGGTAAGAGAGCAACGTGCTGGCACAGGACTGGTAGCTCATGAGGTAGCTTGTAGCACACTGATCAGGAGTGCAGTGGGAAGGTGCTTCTGAACCCTTCTGATGTTCAGCAGGCATCAGCTCTCTATCTCTTGTCCAGAGAACTCTTGCCCAGCTTCCGTTGCATCCCTTTCTGGAAAGGTCTGATCTGGTCACAGTGATACGTGGTTCAGTCACACATGTCCCTATTGCAGGGCTGGGTAGGTCGTCGTCTTGCCCGTGAGGGCTGTGTGCAAGGGTGAGGCCAGGGCTTCATACTGCGGTGGGCATGGGCAAAGGCATGGGGGCACGTGTGTGCTGTTACCCTTGTGTCCTGCTTGTGAGTTTTCTACAGGCACTTGGTTAGCCACTTCAGGAACCAAATACTGCTCCAGAGAGCCCCTTTGTCGGATTTCATATGGGTTTTTTAATGTACTTATATTGAAAAGACCACCGTCCCCCATATCAACTTGCGTGTAGTTTATGAACTTTGTCTAAGGCTCTGTTGTATGTTTCATTACGGAATAATGGATGGGAAAACTGGTCAGGTTCTTTTTCCGGTTGTCATTCCAGCCCTGGAACCTCTTCCCTAGGGAAGTTAGTTGAGCCTTTTCATTGCTGATAAGGCGTTCCTGTTTTGGTTAATTAGGGCAGAAATATGTTTATTCTCTTGTAAATTTATTGCTCCATTCTTGTTCCTTGTTTTGTTCTTTAAACTTCCTTTAAAGTTTGATTTGTATACTGCTTGAGGACCTTGTGGCTGGACAGCCACCTAAGAGTCATGGTTTAACTGGGAGTCCTGCACTGGGCAGGGAGCTGGACTTGATGGCCTTCCAACTCCAGTCCTCTATGGTTCTATGAAAGGCAGTTGATAAATAAGTGACATAGTTGAGGGAAAACATAGGATTGCTGGCCATGTAGTTCTGCTTGTGTGCAGGACAGTTGCTGGTTTGCCCTAATGTTCTTGCTTTCTTTTCTGCAGCATAACCGGTTTGTCTTGGACTGCAAAGACAAGGAGCCCGACGTGCTGTTTGTAGGGGACTCCATGGTGCAGCTGCTACAGCAGTATGAGGTATCCTCTTCAGGGAGAGAGCAGTGGGTCTGCTTGTAAGCCCATTTGCTCCTTCTGTAACCATGGTGCCCTTTTTTCTTGAGGTAGAAAACAACTGATGGTGCCCCAGCAGGCCATGGGGTATATTCTGGGTTTTGAGATGCTTGGAAAGAATTCTGGACTAGACCTGTAAGGGTCTGAGTCAGTGTGGGGCTTCTCATGCTCTGAAACTGTAGGCGTTGGGTCACTTTTAACACAGGTTGGGGTTAGATGCCTTCCCCATTAAGACGGACTATACTCTTGCTTTGTAAACTTGAATTTTCCTTACCTCTGTCCTATCGGTTTGTATATAATACGTATTAAAAAAAGAACTTTCTCAAGCAGAAAAGCCAGCAAGCTAGAATCCAGATAAATCTTCCTGGGGATATCCTCTAAGCATTTAGGCTGTACACGGTGGACCCCAGGGACTTCCTGCCCCCTTCCTCTTTTATTTCAGCATCATCTGCTTGCTCAAACTCGCACTGAGAACAAATGCTGGTTTTTGTCAAGGGTGTGCTTAGAGTCAGCTTCTGACATCCATTCATTGGTCTAACATGGAAGAATTTCAGTCAAAGTTCTACATAATATAAAAATGATAAGCATGTTTGTTCTCAAGTATTTCAGGTCAGATATGTGTATATTGGGACAAAACACTAACATAGAGAACTTTTTGAGTTTTATTTGATAAATACAAGAACGATAAATATGCAAAATTGGACTATAGCCTAGGGTATCTGAAAATTTCCTGAAGGGAGTAACCATGTGCAAATTTGTTAATTCAGTCTTCTAAAGTGTGTCTCTAGTCCGAGACTCTGATGCCACGTGCCCCGGTGGTTCCACCTCTTAAAAGAGTGAACTGGTTTCCTATTCCAGATATGGCGAGAGCTCTTTTCACCTCTACATGCACTGAATTTTGGAATTGGTGGGGACACAACAGGACACGTTTTATGGAGGCTGAAGAACGGGGAACTGGAGAACATCAAGCCCAAGGTGGGTGTTGTGCGAGCATTTGCTGGCTGGCCAAAGTGTTGGTGCATGGAGAGCAGCGCGCTCTGCCTGTGATTTGCACTGTGTTTATGACCCGTGACCTGTGACGAGTAAGGAAGAGACGGTTGGAATAGTTGGTTGCCGACTGTTGGTTGCCGACTTGTGACTGGGATGATACAGTCAAAAGTGCATGATCTGATACTCCGCCTTTTCCTTTTGAAGATGTGGTACGCAAGAATCCTTCTGGTTTCCGTCTTTGTCTCCCCTCGCTCCTCTGCAGGTCATTGTGGTTTGGGTTGGAACAAATAACCATGAAAACACAGCGGAGGAAGTAGCTGGTGGAATAGAGGCCATCGTGAGGCTGATAAATACACGGCAGCCCCAGGCCAAGATCATTGTATTGGTATGCATCACTTTGGTTTCTCTTGTCCGTATTATTTTTTGCAAGCTAATTTGACTATTTGCTTTGAAAAGCACATTTAATTGTATTCCCCACCTGCCCTCATTAAAATGATTGGGTGTATCGAGAGCTTTATAAGAGAATTATACAGAATCTTAGAAGAGTCCCCATGCAAATCCATTTAAAAGGAAAAGGGAGAGGAAGGGCCAGGATGCCTTAATAGGATCCACTGGGAGCAAACAGAGAATAAAACAGTCAAGGTGCTTCTGAAAGATGAGAAGGGAGTGAGGCCAGTGTATGTAAGGTCAGAGTAATTGGCAGGGTCCAGAAAGATGGTGGGATGGATCTGCCAGCCAGAGCGCAGGGAGATCCCAGGGAAACCTGTCAGTCAGGGCCCAGAGATTTCCATGGAACTGAAGTGCTCTCCTCTCCTTCCATGCCCAAGGGCCTGCTGCCACGTGGCGAGAAGCCCAACCCGCTGCGGCAGAAGAACACCAAGGTGAATCAGCTCCTGAAGGCTTCGCTGCCCAAGCTCGCCAGTGTCCAGCTGCTGGATGTGGACGGGGGCTTTGTGCACTCGGATGGCACCATCTCATGCCACGACATGTTTGATTTTCTTCACCTGACGGGGGCTGGCTACACGAAGATTTGCAAACCCCTCCATGAACTCATCATGCAGCTGCTGGAGGAGACCCCTGAAGAAAAGCAGGCAACTCTGGCCTGATCCGGCAGTGTTAATGACATCCCAGCTTCAACAGCGCAGTTCTTCTTACCTGGCACTACAGAATCCTCCTTGCTCAAAGCGCTTTCCATGGTTGAATGTTACTGGGTGTTGTGTTTAGCACTGGAAAGGGAGGGGGGAAGGAGGGAGGGAGGGAGCTGGTGTGCAGCATGTAGATTGGCCCAGTCAGTCAAAGTGTCCCCTTTATGGGATGGTCTTAACTGCAGGATGACATTGACTGAAGGATTTTACTTTGTCATTTCTAGTTTACAGTATGAACATAACTTCTCACCTTCCATCGCCCGTGTTCTGCGGTCACATTGCCAGTCCTCCTTCCTTAGTGTCCAGGCTTATTTCAGTAGCCCTTCGAAGTCTGAGCTTCGTAGCTGCACTCACATTCCACTCCCTGAATGGAAAAGTAGCTGCTTCTTTAAAAGTTGGAATTGTTTGACGAGTTTTTATACTTGCTGGGGTTGGATTCTTGTTTTAAGTGATACCAGCTGCTTTCTGGCATTGGCAAAAGGAAAAAACCCACCACCACCACAGGGTACAGCTATGTACACCTTCAGATGTGCGAAAAATGACATGTCAAGTGATGAACACATTTAACTCGGCCTGTTCCTTGTTTCTAGTTTGCTGGACCTCGTTTTTTGTCTGGGTCCTGTGGGAGGCTATCCAGTGTTGTATCCTGGCAGAATCTGCTCCCTCTTGTGCCCTCCAGCACAACATTCCCAGTCTTTAAAATGGCCCAAGAGCTTAGGAGCCCAGTCTCATGGCAAGCCGTTCCCACCAATATGAAACTGACATTTCTTCTCACTCTGGTGTCCCATGCCGCAGGACGCCGCACGGTGCTGCTCCTGCCGATAACATTGTTAGGAGAGCAAAAAGCAGATGACTGTTACTGCCCCTGAACAGCATAATCCTTAGCCAGTTCCCTCCTTGCGAGGCCTGAAGCCGGCTGAAGCTTTGCTAGTTGTGAGGTGTGCATTTCCTTGTGGCGTCTGTCCTGTTCCTAGTGGGGCTTCTGGCAGTTAAGTTCCGCTGCAGGCATTCCTTCTGTGGGGCCTGCTTTCCCCCTGCACTGAGGGGAGCAGCAGCCCATTTCCCAGAGCCTGATAAGACTCGAGCTTTTTACACGGAGGCTGTTGAGGATGTAAGGCCTTTATTTAAAGGCATACATCTTTTAGATTTCTGGGTTTGGGGGCCTTATACTGAAACATGTTTTTAAAGCAAAAATGTTTCAGTGAGGACTTTTACCAGAGCAAATAGTTTGGCAAAGTTACCTGTTCATGCTTTGCCAGTCAGTCCAGAGCGCAGGTGTGTGCTGTCCTAACCCCCGCCCCCAAATTAAACTAGTTTTTTTTATTATTGTGGATGTGTGTAAAATGCTTCTTTGTCGTACTGGAAGCTTCTTGGGATTGAATGTGCTTTCTGAAAACCCTTACTTGATGCTTTCTATCTTGCTCCTTTTGTCCCATCTTTCTTCCTCCGCAGAGGCAGGAGAATTTAAAAAGTACAAGACTGCTGTTCCACAAGAGAATCCTTCGGGCAATTCTTTGGTGGAGCAGCGTCTGCTGGAATTGAGGGCTGGGTCTGGGAGTGGGTAGCCGTGAGTGAGCTGGCCAGCCTGAGGAGTCTTTGAATCTCACCAAGAGAAACTTCGGTGGTAGCACTGACCTAAAGTTTTTTAAAATACCTCTGCGGTGTTCCTTCCATGTTCCTGAAACGGATGTGGGCCAAACATTCCAGCTTATGAGTAGCTCTCGCGAGAGTTGCGGGCCTGGAAATTCTGACTGCGAGAGGGAAGGTTGAGCGAGCCCAAGTGGTTTGTTGCTCGGACTCGCGGCCTCTGTGCATTCTTGCTTCTCACTCAGTTGCGTTTAGCTACTTCCTTTGCAGGCTGCCTTGGTTCCTGCAGAAAGGAACGTCGGTGTTTCTCTTTGGCATGTCAGAAAGGGGGGTTGTAATAAGTGAAATAGGTTGTGTTGCCTCACAGCATCCACTCCTGCTGGTGCGATTCCTTCTTCGGGCCTGTGGCAGTGGCAGGTGCCTGCATTCTGTATCCTACTCCATAGTGTGAAGAGGCCCTGACCTTGGGATGTGCTGGCAACGCAGAGTATGTCCCGTTTCTACAACCAGCCTGTTCCCAAGCTTTTACTTGATTCTCTCTTTCTCGTGGCTGTTTACAGTTGTGTGCTGCAACCCAGAATCTTGTCTGTCCTGTGGTGTATGAGCATTGCCAATTTTATATTTATTGCAGCAAAAGAAAAAGCGTGAAAACAAAGGTTAAGGAATTGTCTTTTTCATGTAACGTGTGTGGCTGTAGCTGGGGGGCTGGCCCCCAGGGCAGAGAGCTATGCGGGCTGGCAGAACGCTCCCTCGAGCCAGCGCGTGGAAGTGCGCTGCAGCCCTCTTCCGTAACGATCTTTTGCTGCAGGGAGATGGGAGGGAAGGTGCTTCCCTCCCCCGTCACGGATAGCTGACCAAACCTCCCATCCGCCCCCCACCAAAAAGTGATGGGTCTGCTTTGCAAAATGGCATCGATGACTGGTAGAGCTCACTGTTTCGTGCATATTTCAGTATAAATGTATGTTTCACCAACAAGCTCTTGTCTGTCTCTCCTTTGTGGGCGCACAGTGCATGTGTGGCATTTCCTTGGCCTCTTGACGCCCATCAGGGAACTGGGCTAAGATCGGTTTGTACATCGGGCGGGTGCCATTCCCCAGTACAGGACAAGCGTTGTGCCTGACAGGTGCGGGGCGGATCTCGGCCTGGAGTGGACGCCACTGTTAGAATGTCTTGCCCATCGTGGGAAAGGAAGCATCTTCTCAGCACCTGCTTTTCATGGAGGGTGTTCCACTTTGTCAGGCCATAATGCAGAGGTGCTCATTGGGCATCTTTCCCACGCCCATTAGAGTGAAAGCAGCAGGTATCCAAAATGAGGTAAAAATACTTCTGCCGAGGGACTGCTCCCCGGCTCCTGGAAAATGCTGACAAGCAGGCTGCTGGCTACAGGGGGGCAAGCGTGGGCCTTCCCCAGTAAATGGTGCTGGTCTCCATCTTCCTGGACGGTGCAGGGGCTCGGGCCAGCTGCTTGGGACACCTTTTATATGGCTTCCTGTGCTTTTAGCCACGGCCAAAAAGCAGAGGGGAGTGCGGCCGCCATGGCGGGAAAGCCCCCCCCCCCGCCTCGTAATAAGGAAGGTGCGGGCGGCATCGGATGCGGCCGCCCCCGGGAGGGCCAGGGATCCAAAGGCTGCCGCGATGCAGCCGTTCTCTTCGGCCGGCTCCAGGTCGTCTTCCAGACCGGCATTTCGGGGGCTTTGCTGTAACCTGGGCGAGGCAGGGCAGGCGCAGTCGAGGGGACTTGGGCAGCGCAGCAGCGAAGGGGCCTGGGCCGCCAGCCCGACCGGGCGCTCCCACCCCCCGCCGGTGCTGCTCGGACGGTCGCCTCTCCAGTTGTGCGGCCACCCGCGGCCGTTCCCTGCCCTGTTTCTCCCGGGCTTCTGTCCGGACGAGCGGGAGGGCCGCCG